GGGTGGTCTTCTCAAAGTGTGGGTGGTTGACGGGTGCTCTGGTGTGGTTTGTTCCTTCTTTCACATCAACATCTATCATCTTTATCTCCCCTCCTCCTTTTTGTGTGTGTCTGTTACCCCCTTATAACATCTTGTAACACCTCTAATCTTCGGCATTTATATAACCTTATCGTGCTGCGAGTTTTGTAAAACACTTGCTATAAAAGAATGTTTTAAAAAAGATAACACATGTGATTATCGGTCGTAGCATGAATGCAGTCGAGATAGGATGCATAAACCCCTCTTTTTCTTTGTGTTAAGTTAGTATTCTTCTCGTAGTTCTTGCTTCCTGTCAAACGTCTATCGTTGCTATATCTCCTCCTTTTTTTCTTTGAACACTATCCTCTAATAAAACCTCTAATCTTCAGCACTCCTATGACCTAATTGTCTTTCGGGTGCTATAAAACTCGTCGCTAAAACGAATACTTAAACTCATGGCGCCAGGTACCCACTGTGAGCAGGACATTGACGACTGCGACCCCAACCCTTGCCACAACGAAGGGGTCTGCACGGACAAGGTCAACGACTTCCACTGCACATGCCCGCTAGGCTACAACGACAAGCGCTGCATGTCAGACGTGGACGAGTGTGAGTCGAACCCGTGTGTCAACGGCGGCCGATGCATCGACGGCTACAACAGGTGAGAAAAGATGTCGTGGAAACCAAGAGAAAAAGGAGAAGAAGAAAGAAAAAATCCCTACCCCTTCTAACCTCCCCAATTTAAACATTAAAAAAAAAAACTGTTTAAAATAAATATGATTGTATAAATATTGTAGCAATGTTAAATAAATTATATGAAATTACACATCAGTCACGTGTGAACAATTTGGAAACTAACCAAAACAAACAAAGAAAAAACCACCACAAACTCTTACCCCTTCCAACCTCAACCAATTTTTTTTTTTACACTATTCAATACAAATATGATAGTATTAATAGTACGAATATAGTATCAACCTGATATAATTTATATTTAATTGTACTTAATTGCACCTGTTGGGAAATTTGGATTACTGTGGCAAACTTACATACATGATAAATACATAATATATTTAAACTCACAAATATTGTACATACAAAGAATACCAATCACACAATGTGATGTAGTGATATAATGCAGGCTACTTCAGAAATGTAAAAAGCGTGCCAAATTCTGTGAGGGCCTCAGGGATTGCTAAAAGATGATTTAGAAACAAAAATTACTTTGGGGAAATTTGTCCAAGAATGCCGAGGTGTAGACGGCCAGGGGAAGTAACCTGGAATGGTGAAGTTGTGCTAGAAGTTGATGCTCTTGATCATTACGGAAAGCCGCTCCTTTTTTTAGATGTAGTACGGTACTTCATTGGTCAAACTACAGTTGAACCTGCTCTGACGGCCAGGGTACATAACCAGAAGATTTACATGTCCTGTTGATTTCTCTGTGTGTGTATGCTAAATGTATCGTCTAGATGTGGGGGAAAAAAATTAATTTCTAAATTTTGCTCCTCCTTCCCCTTCTCCCCTTCCCTTTCTCCCCTCCCCCTTCTCTCTCACCTCCTTCTTCTCTCCCCTCCTCCCCCTCGTCCCTTCTCCCTCCCTTCTCTCTCTCTCTCTCTCTCTCTCTCTCTCTCTCTCTCTCTCTCTCTCTCTCTCTCTCTCTCTCCCTCTCTTTCTCTTTCTTTATCTCTTCTGTACATTCCGTTCACTCTGTGTGTCTGTGAACAGTGTGCACGTGAGTGAGTGTGTATATATAAGTGTGTGTGTGTGTGTGTGCGTGTGTGTGTGTGTGTATGTATGTATGTATGTATGTATGTATGTATGTATGTATGTATGTATGTATGTAGGTATGTAGGTATGTAGGTATGTAGATATGTAAGTATGTAGGTATGTAGGTATGTAGGTATGTATGTATGTAGGTATGTATGTACGTATGTATGTATGTACGTATGTACGTATATGTGAATGTGTGTGTACTCCTTCCCCTCCCTCTATTCTCCCTTATGCCCGAACTCGGTCCTTCCAGATATAATCAATTAATGCTCTTTGTTTTACTTCTCTCCCGTTCTTTTCCTTTATCGCCTCCCTTATGCCCTTTTCACCCTATCTCACTATCTGTCTGCATCTCTTTATCGTCGAAGAGGTTTTTTTTCATATTGGTTTTTCCCCGTCTTTCTCTTCCTCATGAGACATTATTAAAGGTTTCTAACTCCCTTCCCACCCCCCTCCCCCTCCCCCTTCTTTATTCTGGTGGGAACAACAAAACTCCCTGCCAGCCGGGTTCAAGAAACCTATAAACAGAGCAATGATGCTTCCTGATTTTGTTCTTCCTTAACAGAGAAACGTACAGATGATAAATATCCCCCCTCCCCAAAGAAAACAACACACCAAGAAACAAACAAAGAAATAAATAGTTACCAAAAATGCCCCC